GGAGGTATTCAAGCTGACAAAGGCCAATGGCTCTAGATATGTAGGTAGGTAAGTCAAAGTCATATAGAGCGCTGCTGACCTTGTTAAGGAGTGGTAAGTTTATACTTAAAGTAAATAGGGAAGAAGGAAGGGCTTTTAACAGAAGAGCAATATGATTTGCATTTTTAAAAAGATCATATTGAGCAGTGCACACCTGTAATCCTAGCACTCAGGAGGCTGAGGCAGGTGGATTGCTGCAAGTTTGAGACTAGCTTGGGCTACATAGTGAGTTCACGTCCAACCTGGACTATACAGTGAGACCTTGTCTCAAACAAACAAGCAAAAAAACCAGCAATGTTACTTGATTGTTTTGAACTCTTTTTCTGGTTATAACCAAGTTTTCACAATGCTCTACTATGAAAAGTTTCATTTTGGGGGGGAGGGAGTTTACCAGAAGTTTTTATTTTTAAATAATAAATCATCTAACAATTTCATTGGGTCCTTCTTTGATATTGTGAAATGTAAAAAACTGCCAAAAAAACCAAACAAACAAAAAACCTGTGACCTAGACATCTGAGTCCTTCATTTCTATAGATTCTGTATTTCAGGAAAGATATTTTTATGTAGATTAGAAAATCATTATTATTATTATTATTATTATTTTGGGGGTGTTTTTTGAGACAGGGTCTTGCTATATAGTTCAGGCTGTCCTTGAACTCACTATGTAGGCCAGGCTGGCCTCAAACTCCAGGAAATCCTCCTGCTTCAGCCTCCAGAGTGCTGGATAGGCATGTGCTACCACACCTGGCAAGAAAATTATAATTATATTCATGGCTTTTCAATTTAAAGGAATTTTATTTTACTTCAGAAGGAATTTTTAAAAATCAAAATATTGTTAAATTTAGTATGTTTCTGCAATATTTTTGATAAAATAATTTTATTTAATCACAGCTTTAAATATAATGTCACAAAAATCCTGGAGCTATGGATTTAGCTTATTTAGACTATGGGAATTCTCTACCACTTAAGTTAGTCAGGAAGGTCAATTTTCATTTCCCACTATCCATGTAAGACCTATTTTCTGTCAGAAAAAGTCTAGTTCTATTTTCCATTTTCAATAAGCATGTTATTAAGTACTTTAGAGAATATGTTGTTTTAAAAGACAAAAATAATAAAACACATCTTGTAAAGTATTTACTAAAATTATTCAGGATTAAATTAATATAGACCTAATGAATTTATACACTTATTGCATAATAAATTTGTATAATACTAAATTTAAAAAAAGATCATATTGCCAACATGTAAGGAAAAATTGATTAAGCATAAAAGGCTTTGTAATAATCTGGAGACATGATGGTAACCACTTTTACTGTTGTAATGGCAATGGGACAGAAAAGAGTGGAGAGATTTGAAACCTACTTAGACTTTTTGAGAGTTTGAATATGAACAAGCTGGCAGAGGTGGAGTCATGGATAATGCTTATGTTCCTAATTTGGAAAATGAGTAGTGTTGAATTTTGAGCCATATGACCATAGTCTTGTGACTTTCTCCTACAATTTCGTGCAGCCCAGGAAGAATAGAAGTAATGACTAGATTTGTGCAGTGGTTGAGGGAAGGTCTGGAAGGCCAAATATTCTGGGATGTAGCAAATGCCTAGCTAAAATAATTGAGCATGAGGCCCAGGCTAGTTTCAAGGCAAATGAAACCAGACCAGAATGTAATTTGAGAGAACTGAGATGTATTAATGGAAAGTTACAATGAAGAAGGACAGTGAGATTAATGGAGGGGAGCACAAAGATACAGAAATACAGAAGATTAAGTATTTCCAAAATAGAGAATTTGAGAGTAGCATCTTTGAAAGGATATTTACATTTGTGGCAAAGCTTGGTCTGAGGATGACTGAATTACCCTTGGTAAAATGGAGGTCATTGGACTTAAAAGAGGCCAGAGAATTGTGAACACTGGGTTAATGGTTTTTGTCTATGGATGACAAAGACTCCAAAAGTGATTGCAGAAGATAAGACATAAAAAGTATTGAGAGCCAAATACTACAGTCAGGCAAACACAATCTTCTGAAAAAAACTTTTGGAAGATTGAAAAAGATCTGAGTTCATTGATAGTAAGAAGTGTGTTTCATTCATCTTTGTGTCTTTTTTTGTACACAGCATATCTGAAACATAGCTCAACAAATAGTTACTAACTGAACTGACTTTGTTGCCCCTTTTCCCTCAGAAATTCATACTTGCTATGCTAGGTGGCTATTTCAAATTGAGAGATCAAGGGATAAGGAGGTAACCTAAAAAGTAGTGACAAGAACAGCCAACAAAGAAGATCAGAGGAAAGAACATCCCAGGTAGGGAAAAGACCATGTCCAGGAACAAGTGTGGCATGTTTGAGAAGCAAAGATGGCCAATGTTGTATCTTAGTAGTCATGTGAACACAGAATAGTAATGATTAGTTTAGGCAAAACCTAGATCATGTACAGCGTTACAGATAGGTTAAGTTACTTGAATGTTACTCTAATTGAGATGAGAAATTATGGAGAGTGGTAGTTAAGAAATGGATTAAAATTGGATCTGTTTACTTGGATCTATTGCATTAACATTATTAAACTTTTCCAATCTTATTTCTCATTACTACTTTTCACATAAATCAATCTACTTATCACTTCCCCAATAACACTCATGTTTTCCTGTCCATCTCTTCATTGTTTGTGAAGGACTCTCTACCTGGAATGATTTCTTGTCCTTTGATTCATGTCCAAACTTTAGTCACCTTCAAGGTCAACCTAAAATGGTATGTACTCCACAAGTCCTTTCCAAATTCCCATGGCCAGAAATAATCTCTCATTGTTACAAACTTATACAACATTGGGAAAATTCATTTGGCCCATTAAATGGGATTAAAACAATGCTGTGAAAAGTAAGATGTTAAACAAGTAAAAGGCCAGGATTTAGCTCAGTGGTGCCACCTCCTGCCTCAAAACCACAAGTTCCTGAGTTTGATCCCTGGTACCAAAAACAAACAAACAAAAATACCCCAAACCAAGTAAAACTATTGTTACTATTTAAATGATATGTATATACATATCTTATTCTTCGTGAGACAATTTGTAATCATGTATTTATCCCACAATTCTTGACACAATGCTGAGAGAAAGAGAGACAGAGACAGAGACAGAGACATAGAGAATTAAAATGAATTGAATTAAATTTTGGAGCAAAAAGGAATTACAGTTAAACTTGAATAGAAATTACCATAACCCATGAAGAGGAGGGGAAAAACTTTAAAAAAGAAAAAAATTGAGATGCATTGTATACATGTACCAATTCCCTACAATGAATGTAACCATTATATACTGCAAAACATTTACTAATAAAAATTTTTAAAAAGAAATTATCATAACCCACATTTGCTAACAGCAACAAGTGCTTCTTTTAGTTCAAAGATTACTTTTTCATGTTGGTTTTTATCTATTTATAATAAAGAATGTGTCATTTATATTAAACCACACTCTCCTGAGTTTCCTCACATTTCATAGGTCACTCATGTCATTGTCTTTACATCCCCCTCTTCCCTCAGACCCCAGGACTCAGTTCTTCAACCATTTCACTAGATACAGTCACTTCCTATGAAATTTTGTCCAAATTCATGGCTTTAAATATTATTTATATGCTGATGGCTCTTAGTTTATATTTTTAGTACTAACCTCTTACCTAAACATCAGATTCATATATGAAACTGCCAGTTTAATGTTTCCAGTTGTATACCATTGGCATCTGAAACTCAATATGCTCAAAATAAAATGCTTACTTCATACTCTAAACCTACCTTTACTCTAGCTTTTTTATTTCAATAAGATTGCACTGTGATTCAACTTCACTATTCATGTATAAATCTAAAAATTAGCCTTGGTTTATTTCTTTCAAGCTGCATATCCCAACTACATTCAAATCATTTCAGCTTCAAGTGAAATTTCAAGTCAAACTATTTCTTTCTAACTCCACTGCTAGTATCTTATCCAAGCTATGATCATCTTTTGCTTGAACTATTGCAAAAGTTTCCTACCTGGATTCCTGCCCCTACTCCTTTTTGTTTTTAGATAATTCTCGACTCAGCAGCCAGACTAATCTTAACTAGAGAACCAGATTATGCCACTCCCATGACCTAAATCTCTACTTGTTTCACATCTCACTTGGAATAACCTCAAAATATCCTATCATGATCACAAGGCCCCCATATGATCTGATCCTTACCTTCCCCTTCATCTTTTATTTCTGTGCACTGTACTCTTGTTACACTGTCTCTATTGCTCTTCCTCATTACACCATTACTTCCTCAAAGCCTTTTGACTCTCCAGGGTCTCCACAGTCAATTAAGATAAACAGGGTAAGCTTGAAGACAGACATAGCAGAATATTTATCTTCATTTCTCCAACAGTTAACTCAATGAATGGAACTCACAGATGGATATGGATAAGTAAGAGCTTTCTTTAAAAACTTTCAGGTAAGCTTACACTGTGATGTAGTTTTCATAAACATCTAATGTTACCTTACTTGTTTTGACAGAGTGCTTTGTTTAGAGAATGGCAAGTGCTAGCTCTTCCAGTCAGACAACTTCTGGAATGTTGCATTTGGCTCCAGGTATTGCATATTAAGATACCTGAATCTTAATTACTGCATTTCAGGTAAAGCATAGTTATTTAAAAGAGAGAAACCAGTACGGAGAAAGAAAAGAGCTGTGCCTTGTGAGGAACTATGACAGGAATAAAGAATCTTTAGCTTGATGAATACTACAGGAATTCATGCTAAAGGAAAGCTCTTCCCAAATAGCTGTAAATCTGCCATCTGAAAGAGAATGTTATGCTTGTTCTTGTTTGCTATAAAGGAAAGAACCAATAGCAGGAAGTTTCAGAGAAGAAGTTGTTAGTTCAGCATAAGGAAGATTGCCCAACAGGTCTGTGGAAACCAGTGTTCCATAGGACACTATAGCACATTACATCCACTACTATGCCCAGCTCTCAGTGGTAGATATTTTAATAGTTCTTTCTCAACAAGTGATAGAACAAGGATATTTGAAACAAGCAAAAACAAAGTACTTTTAATGCAGGCTATCTCAGAGTCATTAATATGCAAACATTGTGAAGATGATAATATGCCTCATTTCTCAAACTTATTTGTCCATTGACACTTTTATTCACAGAACAGTGTTAACATCTCTTGAAATAAAATTTATAAAAGAGTGTGGGTTAAGATGGTTAAAAATGAACAGGCTGTATTCTAAATAAGTAGGGATAGGTCTATATCAAGTTATCTGGGAAAACTGGATTGTGCTGCTGGTACTTCTGTTCTTCTGAAATCTTGGTCATTAAAATGGAATGATGTAGAGCGTGGGGAACTAGAGAATGGCAGATGCAAGCTCTTCTAGTCACATAACTTCTAGAATGTTGCATTTGGCCCCAGGTATCACATATTAAGACACCTTAATCTTAATTGATGCATTTTAGTTAAGAATAGTTACTTAGAAGAGGGGAACCAGTATGGTGAAAGGAAAGACCTGTGCCTTGTAAGGAACTATGACAGGAACTAAGAATCAAATTTGCTTACCCATTATATTATGAACATTGTGAGATCAATACTGTTTTAGATGAAACTGGAATAAAAAGCATGGAAACAAAGCTTTCTAGTACAGAGATTCTGAACTTTTCCCTCTGGTGACAGAGTTCACAGTCATAATATTCCCCAGGTCTGTGCCCTGATTCATTCACTGTGGGCAAGGTAAGCTTCTCAACTTTTTCATACATACACACACAAGCATGCTCTACTCCCACCACATACAGATTTTTATAAGATCTTCATGCAAAACCATGCCCTTTTATCGAGTATCACCACTAGAACTTCAAACCTAGAGCATTAATATTAGGCCTTTTTGAATAGATAGAAAATTTCCAAGACTAAAAGAAGAAATAGTATTTCAAAATTATGAGAAAAATAAACCAGGAAAGACTTCAAAACAAAGCTATTACTTTGCAGCTAAATGGAAAAATTAATAAAGAAAGTTGCACTTATCAAAACAATGTTACTGATGATTTGCTTCAATAAGCAAGACAAGATATAATAAGAAAAGCAGTCCCAGCAATGCTGAAAAGATTAGGTTGCAAAATTATATTTACTGTCTGTACAGCTATCTACAGAAGGGAATAATCCATGTTTCTATTTTCCATTTTTGCCCCTAAACCAGCACCCTCAAATGGCAGGGACCTGTGAAGGAATCACGCATAACTCTGTATACCCACAAAGATTTATCTTAACTATACATTTGTATATTTGTGGCCATTTGAGACACCAGGCCAGCTTGAACTACACTACATGGGATTTACTGAGTTCGCTAATAAATGGGAAGACATAGAGTGTAGATGTCTTGATTAAAGATGTCTAGAAACCCCAGTCCTCAAGTTACCTCTCTCATATGAGAAAGGTGGAGGAGATCAACTCAGATAAGATGCTACCTTTCTCTACTAACCCATTAGGAGAGACAAATGCTTGCAGATGAGTAATGGCCAAGACCTTGGCCAGTAATTAGGATCAGCCCAGGGGATCATCAGAGCTTTGTATTCTTGGTCTCTAGGTTGACCATGTTTCCTTGCATGTGAAGATTCTGCTTATCTTCTGACCCATGAATCTCCTTTGACTTTACAGGAACATAGTAGTAGCTCATGATGGAGAAGATCAGGCAAACGACCAGCAAAAGAAGGGAAAACAAAATGAATTCAGCCCACTGCAGGAAGAAAAAAACATAAAAGAATATAGTGAAAACTCAAACAAAAGGGATCTTTATAGGGCAAGTACTGGGGAGCAGATTAACTGAGGGAGCATCAGTTTAGACAGACTTCTTGGAAGAACACGTGTGGTGGAATGACTAATGGTCAACTTGTAACACCCAGCTGAACTGAATCAGTGTGGTCTGGGTGTGGAGGATCCACCTGAGGATTGCTGTCAATAGTCATAAAAAGAGAACTGGAGGGGAAGATAGTGGCCTATTGATTTTCTAGGAGAAGCTTGTTGTGGATGGTTTTCCTGATGGGAACTAGGCTGTTCTCACTGGAGGAGGAGCTCAGGGTCTTGCTGTTTTGGTCAGGGGAGCTCATGTTTCCATGAGCATTACTTCCTGGCTCCAGTGTGGATCCCTCAGCTTGGTGACATAAAGCCTTCATCTCACCGGTGTAGGTTTTCTGGCTTCTGCCACTGGCCTTTTGGCCTTCCAGGAACAGATCCTCAATATGGACAAGCATGAGACATTGCCATGGGCTCTAGGCCACTGGCTGGACTCATGGAGGACACTGCCTTGGACTCTAAGCCTTTAGCTGGACTTGTGTGAGAAATTTCTGGGAGCCAGGCCCTCAGCTGGATCCTTTGGGCCTCTAGTGTGTGGTTAATCTCTCTTGTGTTCCTTTGCATTTGACTTTTTGGGTAATCATTATAAAATAATCCTATAAATTATGTGTCCTGTATTTAATGTATTCCCTTGCCAAAACTCTGACTACAACAACTGGGTTCACTGGCCTTTCCTTACAGTCTTTATAGTGGTCATTTTTGTCATCTACATATGTCTATTTCCTGTTAAAGTCTGTGTATGTAACCCATTCACATCATAGCACTGAGTGGGGAATAACAGCTACAGAGAGATGAGGACAAGGATAAAAGGAAGTTGGAGGAAAATCTCTGGGTAGACATACACTCCTGTTTTCCTCAGATCCATACCTGTACCAGGCCACTGAACTGTGCAACAACAAGCACAATGATATTCCCAAATGCAACTGTCAACAACCAGGCCGCCTGGAGCACAGATTTCATGCTAGATGGAGCCTAGGGAGGACACACATTTGTAAGTAAACAAACTAACTACACCACTCTCCTGCCCCATGAGCCTATGCAGGCAACTTCTCCCACAGACTCTTTCAGATTTGAATTTCCTCCACTAAGTTCAGCTATCACATTGATTTGGAGGATGGCAATAGTGTTAAAGGTAAGAATAAAATAGAGAATTTAATTAAATATTATAATTCATTATATCATATCATCTTTATTGTAATCTTAACATATAAGTTCTATTAGTATTACTAAAATATAGGAAAAGAAAAATAGCATAAAGCAAAGAAAGATAACAGTAGCAAGATGATAATTTACTTGTGCAAGGTTATACAATAGGTCATGCAGCCAAAATTTGAACTTGGATAGTCTAACTCCACAGGCCTTAGACTTCATTTTTAAGTGTCCTTTCCCAGAACCCAATCAGCACAGACTCCTATGCTGCACTGTTGTGATCCTGGGAGCCAAAATGAGTATTCAGGGTCATATACAAGGAACCCAAGGCCAAAAGAGATGGAGGTCTAGGTGGGGATCACAACATATTTGAGACTGTGCCAGAATTAAAATCCACTATCTTTCAAGCAGTGTCTCCTCTTCCACTTCCACTTGAAAAATCTTACCTGAGAATAAGAAAACTCAAGTCCTGTAACAGAGAACATGACCTCTGCAGCTGTAACTAGGGCATACTGTGGTAGTTGCCATGCAATGGACATTCGATTGGCTAGTGTGTCCTCTGTCTTCCAGGCCTGAAGACCTTTGTTGGTGATCTTATTGAAAGAAAAAGGAAATGAGATTTGTCTGCAGTCTCAGAAAAATACTAATGATAGTATTCTACAGACCTATATCCATCCCATTTTTTAATTTTTATCCGTGTGCTACCTTCAAAAGGCTGAAGGTTCTACATAATGCCAGCACTTTTTGAAATTTCTTTTGATGATACAATACTTACTTACCTGACTTCAGTTAGTTAGATTAAAAGTCCTTGAGATCAAAAGTCTTTCAAGTCCAAATCCCCTTGATTTTGACTCAAAAGGCCATTTGAGTTCAAAATCATAAGGTAAAGCCATTCTGTTATGCTTTAGTTGAGAGTGTGAACAAAATCTAGGAATCTGTTTGTGCTTTCTCATCATAAAAGACTATGACCAGAGCTTCTAAGTCAAGGAAATTAAACTGAATGGGATTAAAAAGGACTATGGTGAACTGGATACCACAAGTCCTATCTCAAGGGCACCACAGCCACTACAAAGGGCCCAGAGCCACTACACCAGCCAGTTGACATAGCAATATCTGTTATGGAATCTTCAGACTTTTTCAAGAAATTTTAGTAATCCAAATTCTTAGGTAAAATATCTTGCATATGAATATTGGCAATAAATTCTTTTATTATTGTTGTCAACACCATGCAGGTCAAACAAGACAGGGCTATGGATGAAACTGGGTGCTGAGATCTCCAACTTATGACTTCTACTCTAGCTGCCTATTAGAACTTGGTATTCAGAATTATCTATGGGTTCTATTTTAAGCAGATGAGAGAGGCCAAATGTAAAATGACATAACACCAAGGATGCCACTGTCGCAGGCTAATTGTGTCCCTCAAAACTCATGTGCTAAAGTTCTAACATCTATTACCCTATTTGAAAATAGGGTTGTTGTGGATGGAATTAGTCAAGTTAAAATGAGGTTTTAGGATGGGCCTAATCCAGCATGACAGGTATCCTTATATTAAAATGGGTGCAATTTTGACAGAAACAGCCATATGAGGAAAATACCATGTGCAGATAAAAGCAGACACTGAGGTGATTAAACTACACAAGAAATACTAAATTTCTGGCAAGCCACTAGAAGCCATGCAAGAGGCACGGAACAAACTCTACAATAGCCCTCAGAAGAAACCAACCCTACAAACATCTTATCTCAGACTTCTAGCTTTCATAGCTATGAGACAATAAATTTCTATTTGCAAGCCACTCATCTTGTGGTATTTTTTATAGCAGCCCTAGAAGGTTAACAAGCAGGGCTGGGGATGTGGTTCAGAGGGTCAGTGGCACAGTGCTTGCCTAGCAAAGGCAACTGAGAGGTCCTAAGTACGATCCCTGGTCACCCCCCCATCAAAAAAAGAAGGTTAGCAAGCTTATGCTGGTTTAATATCTGAAATTAAATGTTATGCACCATATCAATAGGATAAAATACAAAAAACCCCTCAAAAACACCTGTTCTAAATAAATGCAGAAAAAGTATTTAGCAAAATTCAACCTCATTTATGGTAAAAATAAACAAGGAGGAAGAAATCAATAAAACTTCAAAAGAGGGGCCCGGAGATTTAGCTCAGTGGTTCCAGTGCCTGCCTCACGAGCGCAAGGATCTGAGTTTGATCCCCTGTACCAAAAATAAATAAATAAATAAAAAAAATAAAACTTCAAAAGAAAAAAACTAGAACTATAAGGGAACTTCCTCAATCTGATAAAAGTATCTATGAAAAACTGATAGCTACCCTTCTTAACAATAAAAGACAAATGTTCCCCCTACCTCAAAGGATGTCTGCTTTCACCACTTCTATTCAATATTGTACCAGAGCAATTAGGCAAGGAAAAAAAATACAAGGTATCCAGACTGAAAGGAAAATAAAGCTGTTTCTATTTGCAGATGACACGATCTTTTATGTAGAAAGTCTAAGTGATCCACTAAGAATGTGTTAAAATTAATAAATGAGTTCAGTAAGGTTCTAGGATATATACAAAGATTAATACACCAAACCAATCATATTTCTCTAACTTCCAAAAAAAAATCTGAAATAAAATTAAGAATATTTTATTAACAATAACTTCAAAAATAATAAAATACTTAGAAGTAAATTTAACAAAAATAAAAGTTACACTGAAAACTACAAAACATTCCTGGAAAAAAATAAATGGAAAGATAGAAACTTAATATTTTTAAGATGGTAAAACTCCCCAAAATGATCTTTAGATTCAGTGTAATCCCTATTAAAATTCCAACTGGCTTCTGATCCTAAGGTGATTATAAAATTCATGTGGAAATTTGTGAAACCAAGAATAACTAAACCAGTCTTGGAAAAGAAAAACAAGGTTGGAAACTCACCCTTTCTAAATTCAGGTACTCCAAAGCAACAGGAAATAAAATAGTATGATACTGGCACAAGATAGACATGTAGATCAAGGGGATAGAATTGAGAGACCAGAAATAAGACCTCACATTTATAGTTAATTGATTTTTGACAAGAGTATCAGGACTATGTAATGGGAGAAAGAACAGTCCTTTGATACATATGCTGGGACAACTGGATATACATACTCAAAAGAATGAAGATGTTCCCTTAGCTCACATTATATGTAAAATTTTACTCAAAATGAATTAAAGATCTAAATTTAAGGTCTAAAACTATAAAATTCTTAGAGGAAACTATAGGCATGAATCCTTGCAAACTTAGATTAGGCTATGGCTTCTTTAGATGTGATAGTAAAACCACAATCAACCTAAGAAAAAGTAGATAAACTGAACTTAATCAAAATTTAAAACTTTTTTGTATTTCAATAGACAACATCAAGACAGTTAAATGTCAACCCATCTATTAAATGGGAGAATTTACAAATTATATATCCAATAACAGACATATCTAAAATATATAACGAAGACTTACAACCCAATTAAAAAAAGGCAAATAACCCAATTAGAAATTGGGCAAAGGACCTGAATTTCTCCAGAGTAGACATACTAATAGCCAAAAAGTACATGAAAAGATGCTCAATATCATTAGTCATTAGGGAAATGCAAATAGTAACCATAAAGAAATACCATTTCACACCCACTGAAATGGCTATACTCAGAAAGGAAACAAGTGTTGGAAACATGTACATTTTTGGTCAGAATGTAAAATAGTGTAGTCACTTTAGAAAAGTGTGATACTTCTGCAAATGGTTAAACAGTTACTATATGGCCCAGAAATTCCATTCCTAGGTATATACCAGAAAGAAATGAAAATATATATTCACATAAAAACATGTATATAAAGATTTATAACAGCATTATTTACAGGAGTCAAAAGTGGAAACAATAGGGCTGGGGATTTGGCTCAGTGGTTCCGCCATCTGCCTCGCAAGCGCAAGGTCTTGAGTTTGATTCCTGGTACCAAAAAAAAAAGTGGAAACAATACAAATATACATCTACTGATGAATGAATAAATAAAATGTGTTATATCTTATACAATGGAAAGTTATTTGGCAATAAAAAGAAATGAAGTAATGGTGCATGTGACTTCATGACTGGCCCTTGAAAATCATGTTACACAAAAGAAGCCAGACACAAAAGGCCACATGTTATATGATTCCATTTAGCTGATTAAATTTCCAAGGAGCTAGGAGACCTACATCTGGAGAGAGCCAAGAAGACATAAATAATTTTATATAATAATCGTTGGTTTCTTAGAGTCATAATGAGACTGGAACAAACTATGTGAGCACATAGTGATGGCTCAAGACAAATTGTGTCTCTCATTCCCCAATACTCTTTGCCTGCTGCTGATGCCTGCCTCTTTTCATTCTCCATATAGAGTGGGCTTTCTAAAGTCACTGTAGGAACCTATTATCTTACAAGAGAAATAACTGGCAATCCTGTCTTGCCACAGAGTCCTTGCCTTTTATCTCTGTCAAAAGGATTCCACGGTGTGTGTGTGTGTGTGTGTGTGTGTGTGTGTGTGTGAGAATGTGTAGAGAGAGAGAGAGAAAAAAAAAGAGAGAAAGAAAGAGACAGACCAGACAGACGAAGGGGAGGAGAGGTGGTTGGGAGCTACTTACATTAGTAATAACAAGCACATAGGATGCACCAAAGTCTAGTAGACCCAGATTCAGAGAAAAGTCTTTATCTTCTGTTTTACAAGGTACTGCAGGATATCTGAGACAGAATGAGTTTAGATTAGAATAAGCAGCACAGCTTACAAAATACTCCCATCTCCAAGGGAGATGTTATCAATTGTACTGATGGTGAGGGAAGCAAGACAACCACCATTTCTCTTTGAAGAGAAATGCTTTTAGAAGGAAGTTATTTTTATGCTAGGTTTCTGCTCTTTGTTGCCTGTCAGATGTTTGCTGTTGTTATTGATTGTTGTTTTTATCCTAAACCTGAATAAAGATGGCACAAATCACCTTCTTTTGTGGGATTTCAGGCCCAGGTAAGTTTTTCTCAAGTAAATCTTATGACTTAGTGGAACAGCATAACACAGTAAATTCTAAGTAATAAAGTACCTTTGGAGGTACCAAAGAGTAGGAGCCAGAACCCATAATAAACTGCGAACCTCACAGGGATGGGCCATCTTAACCACACAGGATGGCTATCCAATTACTATTATGATGCACCAGAATAGGAAAACTTATAGACACAAAGAGCTCAATATAGCTGTGCATAAAAAAGGCAAGACTAAGGGAAGGCTATCAGAATTTAAAAGAAGCAGGAATTTGTCTATACTCAAAATTTATATACCTATATACAAAGACAGCATTTTTAAAACAATTAAAGTAAACAAAGTAAAATGTCCACAGGGGCAATGCTCTTACTCTCCTCTTGGGACAGTTCTGTAAGCAGACACACCGTAGTTTTTATGAACAGTGAAGGGGCCATCTGTACCCAGGGAGATGTTCACATCTTTGTGCAAAGTATTAATAAATCTGAGGGTAGAGAAATTAGTTAAATATCAGATAAACACACCCAAAAGAGACACCTGATAAAAGTGGGAGTTGATCTCATGCTAGGTAAGTGTTCTACCCCTAAATCTCCAAATCCTCCTCCTTTTTTTGCATGAAGGATTAAACTCAGGGCCTTCACAATCGGCTACATCCCCAGCCCTTTTTAAATTTTTCATTTCTAGGCAGGGTTTCACTAAGTCTCTACATTGCCCAGGCTGGGCTTCAGCTCACAACCCTTCTGCCTCAGCCTCCCAGAGTGCTGAGATTACAGGCATGTGACACCTACCTTTCAAAAAATTTTACTTTGATACAGGTTCTTGCTATATTGCCCAGGTTGACCTTAAACTTTCTATTCTGCCTCAGCCTTCCAAATCACTGGAATTTTGTGCCATATCTAGCTGGTAGGAGCTGTTATTTTGTTATTATTATAACCCCTGTGCCAAGAATAAGGGCCATCACATAAAAGGTACATAATATATAGCGTTCTCCAACTTTCTTTCTTTGCTATCTGTCACAACCTCACCAGATCTCTAGCTGTATAAACACTATCATGATAGCCCTGACAAGCTGGGTTTCCTTTATAATCCAGTTTACTAGTTGTTTGTTGTTGTTGCTGTTTGTTTGTTTTTCGATACTAGGGATCGAACTCAGGACCTTGCACTTGCCAGGAAAGCTCAGTGCTGCTGAGCTACATCCCCAGCTCTCTAATCCAGTTTAAATGCAATCTATTTTGATTCCTTCATAATGATGGAATTAATCAAATCAGACTTTACTAAGTAGATAATAAAATTATGTATAAAGATGTGATCACATTTATATAAAACTGACATCTTTTTGTAAATGAAGTCTAATTTGACTCATACACAATGTAGACTCTCAGTCTATAGTAGGTTATTACTACTGTTTGGGGTGTCTGCAAAAATCTCGGATCCTTCCAGAGCCATCTTTCCAGTCTTCTAACATAAGTGCCAGATTGTCTGGTCAGAGTCGGTTTTTGGAACATTTCTGTTTTGATAGTTTTTACTTTGATCTCTGGTCCAAGGATTAGAAGGCCAGTTTTCTCTAGAGTCCTAAATGTTGATTCCTGGACTTTAAATCATCCTGGAATCACCTAGAAAATACCCTTTCTACAAGACTATGGAAACAACTGACAAAAAGAACCTATAATCAGAATATTTGGTCAATATTTGACAGATCCTTGGTAAGACACTAATGGGTCAGCCAGTTATCTTGCTTTCAGATGACAACATGGAAGTTAAGCCTCATTCTTATCTTGCTTTAAGCTGTTTGCTTTTCTGAAGCATAATCAAAAGCATGTTATTATGAATGTTCTACCCTTCAGTGAAATTCAGACTTTTCATTAAAATGCTATTCTCAACTCCCACATCTTGGTGGCTGTAGGCATTCGTATCTGTCCACTCTATACCTAATACCTGTCACAGAAGGCTAGTGAGCTCTTTGGACCTCCATGCTTGCATTGTCCCTTGCTACCTGACAAGACTTTCAGCCTTCCTTAAATTCTAAACCAAGTCTTTTGATTCCAGATATGAACTACATCATGGTGCCTCTACAGATTTATTATAAAACTATACTTTAAAAGGCACATATCCACATTCTAAAAATTAAGGAAAGATTATTTGCTCACTTGTAAATTTCTCTCTGGTGACCACAGAAAGTACTCAGTTATTTTCTTGAGAGCAGGATTAATGAATAAAGTTTAGGAGAAATTTTTTCATTGGGGCATATAGGTTATCTTCAAACAGGCAAGAGCAAACTTATCTGTCTCTGACTGTTCTGAAAAATCCCTTTAGATACCAGTGCCCCTGACATTCTAGGGGAGATAATTCCTCTTTAGAACAAGTAAATTGTGAGGCCTTTTCATCTGAAGCCCCAGAGATCAAAATAGACCCAAGATTCAAGAGAACAGGGTGGCCCAGAGTCCACTTGACATCCAAACCTGACAGCTGTCATTCCATTGTTTGTTTTGTTTTCTGCATCCTTTACCTATAATAGAGGAAAGTAAAAATCAGTAATTGACAAAAAGGAACCTACAATCAGAATATCTGATCATCAGACAGATCCTTGGTAAGACACTAATGGGTCAGATAACAACTTGAAACTTAGGCAATTCCTCCACTTACCATCATGCTGGAGATATTTTTCCCATCTGCATGAAGGATCACAGTGTACCAGTTATTCTCCACTACAGAATATTCAGTGTGGACAGACAAATTGTGGTACTTCAGATGGAAGTGAAAATCCTGGCTTTTTGAGTGCAGGTGCAGTTTGAAATAGTGTGTTGGTTTCTGTAGAATGAAATACCTGTTATACCCACTTTCTACCCCAGCTGGAACATTACGATGTCATGGCATCTCAGGGTGAGTGATACTAGTAATTTTTTCCCTTAAACTAGTTATTTAATTTCTAGGAATCTACCATAGGAAATAATTAGAGGCATACATAAAGATTTATGAGTAGGCTGTTTATTATAGGGTTATATATAATAAAAATTTGAGTATATACATGGTTAAATAGATTATGAGATGGAGATGGAATATTATATGCCCATTAAAGTCATGTTATCAAAGATTATCTAAGGACATGGGAAGGTGCTTATGAGACAATGTCAGTAAAAAAAAAAATCAATGTCAATACAACACATAGAGTTTCTAATTCATTCAGGCCCATACCTCACCTGAAAGGATTTGATGGACTCTGCCAACAGAAAGTTATTTTCACTTCCCAGCACTGTCACTTCCACCTCATCATCTGCCAAGTTTAAGACTTTTAGGAAAATTTCATGGGATCCTGGCTGAGGTGGGGCCATTCCCTTAGAACAGATAACATCAATTAGAATCACCAACAAGCTTTCAGATACAATGAGCACTCATATCTTAGTCCTATCCCTCATAGCCTAGCTTGTCTAGCTGAGAGGACACAGTTTTTTCTCTCTCTAATGAGCATTTGATTTAGAAAACCCTGAAGGCAATTTGGAAGGGAAACATCAAGTCAATGTAGCAAGCACTAATGTCAGGTCACGAACTCATGCTTTTTGACTTATTCCCAATGGTGGTTAATTGGCTGCCAAAAGGAATTTGTTCAAAAATCTGGAAAGGCATTGTATAAGCCCACGTTCCCTAGAGGTGGCCAAATATCTTGGATATTAGTGTTTGGAAATTCCCTAAAAATAACTTCTGCATCACTCAGGTGGGAGGTGAGCATCATTTTGCATTGCTACTCTACCCTGTATCAACACATTTATCATGAATACTTACTATGCACCTCCTATAAAACAGGTACTGAGCTAGGTCCCAGGGAATCAAGATTGAACAAATCAGAAGAATGATCAAGACATATTGCCCTGCCCTCCTGAAGCTTATAATTTACTGAACTCACATTTATTTTTATCTCCACAATGGCTGCAACTGCAAATGCCAGGCATGCTAGGATCATACCAACAGCCATTTTCCTAAGTGATCTGCAGAGGAAAGGGAAAAACAATTATATCTATTGTTTAGGCTCTAGAGTACAAAATCCAAACTCCTTAACCTATCACAGAAGACCTTTCTTCACTTAATCCCAATAACTTTTCAAAGTACTTCCTAGAACTTCTTTTCATACATCTTTTTTTCCCTTTTACTTGAGTCACATAGAACCAATACACCACATTTTCCTACTGCTACCTTTGCTTATATGATGATTTTTCTATCCATTATAACATAATACCAAAGTAACAGCAATATAACCAGATTCATTGAGCATTTACTATGTACCAGTTGTTGTACATAGTTTAACTCATTTTTCTCTTCAGAAGTCTTTGTTGACCCTGGCTGCAGGAAGGACTCTATTCCTTCTCTTTACTTTCCTGACATCTCAATCTCCCCTTCTTAGAGCAATTAACATATATTACCTGTGTAATAGTTAATTCAGCATATGCTCTAACTTCCTTACTTATCAGTAAACTCTTTGAGGGAAAGGTTTGTGCTTGTATGGCACTCAGTTCTGAATGCCCTAATATCTGTTCAATGAATGAGTAATCAACAAAAAACCATTTGAATATGGTAAAGTGGTCATCACTTTGCCATCACAATTAAATTGTTATTAAATTACAAATAAAAGGAAGTTTGAAACTCTCCTCTGGCAAACTTTACAAAGAATAATTTCTATTTAGAATAGCAGAGAAGTAGTAACTGGGACCAATTTTATCTGTAGTCCTACCAGGTCCCCATTTGTTTCATGGAGACAACCAGAAACTTAAAGGAATGAGTTGTTCTTAAAGGCTCTGGACTTCTTTGAAGAGGGAACATTCATGAAAAAAGCAGCAAGTTAGTTTAGGAGCCTATTCCTATATACTATATTTTAGCTTGTCAAAAAGTGTAGACCCACTCCTTCTACATCATATCCTCAAGTACAGAGTACTGGCTTTAACTCTCAGTAGTTAGATCTAATTCCACTTTTCAGTATAATAAACACTTAATCCCACAGCGGAAAATAGAAGCAGCTAAATAATAAACCAAAACATTAAACAGAAACATACTGATAATGAATCATTATCAAACTAGGCAAAGATTGAGACAGTTTGGAGTAATGTACTTACGAGAAGTTGATTCCACATTTGGCGATCAGCCGATAAATGACAAGGTCAAACAATGGTATGAAGATAAGAACCAGAAAAGGATTTAGCACCTGTAACATGATGGTAAAGAGGGTTGGCCACAAGGGCTCCTTCATAAGTGTGAGCCTGTGCTTTCATTTGCTTGAGTGTACCTCCTCATATCCACACACACTTTCACCTTTGTAAGTACAGAATGAGTCCACATTTCCCAGTCCCTTTACACCCAAGGCTCTACTTCCTGTAAATACATGTTAGCTTTCAAATATCCCAAAGGACTAGTTACTTTCTGAGCTGGTTTTTCTACTAATCATATTAGGAGTTTTCTTTCCCATTGTTGCTTATCTTCTTTAGTTTCACAGCTCAAGAGGGAAATGTCATAGCCAGGAGAAAGAAAGGAGAGAAGAAAGAACTGGGGATTATTGAATGAAGAGCTAAAAAACAGACTAGAAGTTATCAATAAACTTTGCTCACATAACAAAATCTTATACACTTTTCTGTGACAATATTTCCATTATATTACCTTGGCATCAAAAAAATCAGTGCTTATACCTTATCTGCAGTCTGAAACTCGCTCTCTCTAAAGTTACACAAGAACTACTTATTTAAGAGAGGATGGAAGGGAAGGTATAAGATTTAAAGAGAAGGTTTTCATCTCTATGCATGGCTTTCCTCAGCATACAAGGAGAAACACATTGGATCAGGGCTGTTAATTTGACAGGTAGAAGCAAAGGTGAGGAAAGAAATACATCCCCATGCCCATAGATAAGTCCCTACCTGCATCTGGTCCGGCTGAAGCACAAAAAAACCCTAAAACATTATAATAAGTTACCATTAGATGTTAGCAGAAGATCAATCATCTTGGTAATTAGTAGGTAAGAAGCATATACAAAATCTATTAGGTCTTTGGTTCAAGGACCTGATGGATCTTGTTCATAGTGATATTTAGGGCTGAGAATAGATTTTTGGATGGCTTCTGGCTGTTTTCTGAGGGCAGGTGGGCCTAAGGGAGAATATTCTTTTCTGAGCACATATTGAGTATCCTTTATCCAAAATGCTTGGGATTTTGAAACATTTTCATACAGAATGAAATATCTTGGGGACAAGATCCAAGTCTAAAGACAAAATTCATTTATATTTTACATACACCTCAGAAGAATAGCCTAAGAGTAATTTTATATAATATTTGTAAGAATTTTGTGCATTAAACAGTTTGGTGGTATGGAACTTTCTACTTCTGGCATCATTTTGACCCTCAAAAAGTTTAGATTTTGGAATAATACAAATTTTGAATCTTTGGATTAATGATGTTCAACCTGTACTATATTTTCCTTAGCTTGAGAGAGAATAGAGTTGGTGTGTTTTTATTAATCTCTGTAACTACAGTTATAAGCAGCAATAATGAGAAGGATGAGATGTTGTGGTTGGGTGATGACTCCCACTGACACAAAATGCTTCTAAAGTTGCTATCCAGGGAGTCAACAAGAGGACCACCTCTCATAATGTCTTAGGGGAAAAAAAGTCACCATCCCAAGCTTGTGTCATTTATTTGCTATTCTTTTAATATACATTTTTTGTTTTTGTTTTTGTTTTGGTACTGGGGATCGAACTCAGGTCCTTGCGCTTGAGCAGCAGGAGGCGAAGCCACTGAGCTAAATCCCCGGCCCTTTTTAATATACATTTAAATATTTCTCATCCTTTTTCCATTCCTGATTCTCAAGACAAAATTTTACTTTTTTACTTCTAGACTAGTTTATAAAATCTTTGCCTACTTAGTGCCTTCAGGATAAATGCACCTCTCTAATGGTCTTAACGTAATTTTCAGACAAAACCATAAATAAAATATTTTTTTCCTTATGTGGATGATGAAAATAATTGTCTTCTTTGAAAATCTCTTCTACTTACCAAATTCCCATTCATCTTAGTGGCTTGCAAGGTCCAACGTGAGCCCTAGGGCAAACAGATGCTAGTATGAGAAATCTCTCTCCTATGAAAGGAAAATAGCTGGATGAAGAAGTAGCTTTGAAAAGGACTGCTTACCTGCTGATCCAAAAGAGCCCAGAACATGGGCAGTGGAATATACAGGAACAGTATCCTGGTAAGTGCCTTCACATCCAAAATGAGCTGCTTCTTCAGGGAAGAAGAAAGAATAGGTAGAATGTTTCAGAAGTCCTCAATGTGGCTTTCTTGATTATAGCAAAAGTACACAAGAACAGTAAAAGAAGAGGTCAAACATGCCAAAAGAAATTCAGTTTGAAAGACTCCATGGAACCATGAAATATTTCTGTAGTTTCAACTTACTGGGTATTTCTCAGTTGCCCAGTCCAGCCAGTGCTGGCGCTTTGGAATGTTCCTAGAACGGTTCTTGAAGCGGTTGGAAATGGCAAACTAGGGGAGAGTACAGATATCAGCCAAGAGACAAAGAGAAGCCATCCTTTGTACGTTCCCATTCATTATCCCTTCTCTCAGATGTACATACTTTTAGTGACTTATCCCAACTCTTTAATCTCATTAGGCATTGAATTTCAGAATTTTTGAGGTATATAATTTTACCTTTCCTTATTTCTGGTTGACATCATATATAATTACACTTCATAAGAATTTTGACAATTTAAGAAAAATGTGGGGGAAAAAGGAAAACAAAAAATGTGATTTTTTTTTTCTTAATGGTTAGGTACAGACATAGAGGAAGGTGAGTTGATCTCAGCTTGTCAGATGGCATGCAAATAAAACAAAGATCAGTAAGGAAAATATATGCACACGTTTGAAGACCCATATCCTCACACTGGATCTCTTTTCTTTTTATTGAGAAAGACAGGTAAAACATTCATGGACTCACCCAGATACATTTGATAACTTGAGTCACTATGTTTCCTTCAGGAGGTGGCTTCTTGTACATTTTGCTTCCCATCACAAACACAACTGCAGTTGATACAAAAACAAGGATCATAGCTACTCATTTAGTACATTCAATATTTCAGGACAGGCTGCTGAGCTGTAGCAGTGCCTGGCATAAATAGAGAACCTACTTATACTTTCTGATTTTGAAGTTATATATATTATGGGAGCCAAGAGAAGATAAAATGGTCAATTTCTAAGAGGTATCTGTTGAAACGTTCATGTAATCACAGAAATGGGAATCATCTTTGGCTTCTCATTCTATGTTGTTCACTTTCATATCTGATGTTACCAATTTTCTTGGTTCTCTTTCTTCACTGTATTTCTATCTGCGTCCTCTTTTCCATTACCACTGCTACTAACCTGTTTAGGACGTCATAATTTCTACTTTGAATTATTAAAATGACCATCAACTTGTTTTTCATTCTCTAGTCTCTTTTCCCTTAATCTGATACCAAATTAAAACCTTTCTAGTATCTCTCCAACCCAAATATCTAGCTGAAAAGCCTTTTAAATTCCTTATTATACTACAACCTATTGAGTTATTTTATAAGTAAATTATTAAGCACTTTATATATTTCAACTGATTTAGCCTAAATATATACTATCTCCATTTTATACATTAAAAAATTGAAAGTTAAAGGAATTAAGTAACTTATACAAGATTACACAGCTAAAATTGTCGCAAGTAGTATTTTTTACTTCAATTTTATCTGAATCAAAAATCTATGCTCTTAGGGGCTGGGGATTTAGCTCAGGGGTTCCAGTGCCTGCCTCGCAAGCGCAAGGTCCTGAGTTCGATCCCTGGTACCAAAAACCAAAAAAAATCCATGCCCTTAACCACTATGAAGTATCTCATCCACTGGTTTTACACCACACATTGTACTAGATACTGCTGGAAATAAAGGTGAAAAAGACATGGCCCTGTCCTCAGAGTAGTGCACTTTAACCTACTATTTCCCACCTTATGTTTCACTACTCTTCTTTGGGTACTTTAGGTTCTAATCACTACTCATCATCATTTCCACAGAAAATCCTATTCTGTGCTATTTTTGTTCTTAAGCTAATTCTGTTTCCCATACTTACATCTTTCTTATTTTTCCTTGTATTGTCCAAGTTAGTGGCAATGAGCTAGTATTTTATAATAATAAAATAGTGTTATATTTTTTAAGTTTATTAAGTTAAATTAAAATCAATGGTGGAAAGATTCCATCTTGATTTCCTTCCAGAAGTTTTTTTTTCCCTTACAAATTCCCATCTGCAAGATTACCCTGGAATAGCCTTTGCTAAAGAATTCTTTCTCAGTGACCAATAGCATTTTCCAGTGTCATTACACATCAGAATTCATAAATCACTTATTTTTCTCTCCTTTAACTTCCAATTTTTACCATTTCTCTCAGTCAGACTCATTTTATTACTTTTTCTTTGTTCATTCTCTCAGTTTCTTCAAACAGCATTCATTCTCTATAACAGCCTTCTTATCATTGAAAGAAAATTTCAGGAAAATAATAACAATCCTGGGATTCAAGTGGGCAGATAAAGAGATACCTAGAAAAAACACAAAGATTTTTTCCACGGGAAATAAAATGCTCCTGAAATTGAGAATGATCCTACAAAGGACCTGAACCCCTCCAGAATGCTGGTTGCAACAGTGACAGTGAAGTGATAAAAAGAAGACATGATCAACTTGATAAGTCACGCTTAAACTTGAAGTTCACTTCACAAGAAGATGAGTAAGAAATAAATTACTCTCTCCTCCTAGTGGTTGATGTTGGCTCTTACTTCACAATGAAAATAGAAGGCTTCAGGTGCTGGGAATTCAGCTCAGTGGCACTGTGCCTGCCTTGCAAGCACAAGGTCCTGAGTTCAATCCCCGGTACCAAAAAAAAAAAATAGAAGGCTTCAAAAGGAAACTTCAACTTCCTGCTACCAAATCTTTAATTCCTATATCCACAGTCATCCTTTCCTTCCTCTAGTTAGGTAAAAGAAATGTTCCTCCTCTTGTCCAAAACTAATTTTTCCATGTGTGCTTTTACACCAATTACACTGTCTTTTTGCACCCTCAACTCTTTTTTCCTAAAAATATTCATGCTGAATACATCAATAATGTTACTTGAATCCACATCACCTTCCAGCTACGAATACTGTTTTGCTTTCTTACCACTTATTCACTTCCCAGTGTAGTCCACTCAGTATTCACACTCTACCAATCTATCATAACTGATGTTATGATTTAAATCTAAAACATCCCCCAAAAGTCTCACATGTTCAGAAGTGGGACTTTTGGAAAATGACTGGATCCTGAGGGCCCTAACTTCACCAGTGGATTAATCCATTCTTTAGATCATAATTTGGTGGCAATACTGGGAGGTAATGAAAACATTGGGAATGGGGCCTAGTTGGAGGGAATAGGTCATGAGAGCATGATCCTAGGGACTATATTTTATCCTTGGCCCCTTCCCCTCTGAGTCTTTCCCTTTCTCTCTGCTTCCTAGCTGTCCTAAGGGGAGCAGCTTTCCTCTGGAACACTCTCCTTCCATAATGTTCTGCCTTACTTCAGATCCACAGCAACGGAACCAGCCAACCATGGGTGGAAATCTCTGGAACTGGAGCCAAAATAAATGCTTCTCCTTTTAAGTTGTTTTTCTAAGTTATTTTGTCACATCAATGAAGAACAGTAACACAACTGACATCACCATATCAATGACATCCTTGCTGCTATATTTAATGAACAGTTTTATCAGTTCCCACTCCATAACATTTGTCCAATTGAGTGCCTTCTTAAAACCCTCTTAGTATCCAAGATAGCACTAATGCCACTTGGGCTTCTCCTTCTAAGTTTCATTTGTAGACCTTTTCTCTTTGTGTGTCCTTTAAGTGCTGTGTCCTTTAAGTAACATGTCCAAAACCAAATTTATCAATATTTCCCAAAACTGTTCTCTCTTACTATATATCCACAATCCCACTATCTATCCATTTGTTTATGTTAGAAGCATGTATTCAACACAGACTTACCTTCTCTCTTGCTTCATGTATCTAATCATTTAAGGTTGTTAATTCTACCAAGACCAGGACAAGGCAAGCTGAGAGAGGCATTCAACTCAAGCATAAAATTTAAGGGAATGATAAAAAAAAGCAATAATCAAGATTAATATTACCCTTGGTTTACCCTAACCCAATCCTCTCTCCACGTCATAGAGACATCATTGAAAAATGAAAATCCAACAGTCATTCCTCTGTTCAAAACCTTTTGTAGATCCCCACTGTCCTCACAATGAAGTTGTAGTTCCTTAATGGCTTTAATGGCTTAAAAGACCTTTCCTTGTCTTGTTTTTACCAATTCTTCTTTATCTTTCTTACTTATGCTCCAGCTAATCTGAATTCCTCGAAGGCCTTTTAATATGTTATACTATCTTGCATCTTCTTGTCTTAAAACTTTGTCCTCGTTCTGCATCACTTACAATCCTTTCTTTGATGAATTCCTTTCTATTCATGCCTGAAGTCTCACCTTGGAAGTCATTTCTTTAGGCAAATCTTTTACAACCCTGAAAGTTTTAGGTTATTGTTGCTGCTGTTGATGTTTTGTGGTTTTTGGGGGAACAAGGTCTCACTATGTAGTTCAGGCTGACCTTAAATTCACTATGTAACCCAGACTGGCCTCAAACTCACAGTGAGCCTTCTACTTCAGCCTCTCAAGTGCTTGGATTAGAGGCATGTGCCACCATGTCTGGCAACATCCCTCAAAGTCTTAATCTGACCTCTATAAACTCCCATACCTTTCTCTATATTTCCCATATTCACCAGGCTGTATTTTAAATTCCTCTTTACTTGTCTGTCTTCCTCTTTTTGCTGGACTATATTCTTTGAGAACATGAACTCTGTAGCTATTTAATTCATCAATTTGGTCTCAATACCTAACAAAGAATCTGTCCCATAATGGACATAATGACAGCACTTAACATTTCATAATTTATAAAATATTTCACTTACAGCATTTACTTACAACATTACATTTACTTGGGCTTCATATTTACTTTGATATTTGAATACCACTATTGTGCAATGATATAGAGAAGGAGGTGTATACTACTCAGTGGAAAAACTAGGAAAATACTTGGGAAAACATTTGGTATTGAAAGGAGAAGGAGTGTATTATAGCTGTTCTGAAACACATTTCCTTGGAATTGGGGACCTGAGTATTACTATCAGCCATCCCCAATTCCCCTGTAGAAAGTAATCAGAATGAATATTGGGCCTCTGGGCTCCTTTTCTTCTGTAGAGCTATTTGTGTTTAGACTGGACATCTTCCAGGGGAGCGTCACTCCAAGGCTCAGAGTCAGAGCAGGTTTCCAGGCCAATGATTACAAAGAATTATGTCCAAATTTCCCCTTAGTCTGCCTAAACTACGCAACCCCACACATCCCCTTTTTCTTACAGTATTAGGTTCTCAGGACTGATAAAGAGAATGCCACTTAATCTAAGTTTATACCTACTTATCCCACTCCTCTTGCTCTCTTTGCTCTAGAGAAAACTCTTTAAGGGGATTGTACAGCAGAGTGGAAATAGCTAAACCTAGAATTGTTTTTTAAAAGGTGCAGAGAAAAATAGAAAATTATATGAAAGTCATAATCTAATTAATATGCATAATATGTTGTTTCTAATTACATAATCAACAGGTAGACATCAAAAATTGTAACAGATTTTGCCTAAATTTTGCAATTGAGTAATCTTGATCAATAAAACTTACTGCCTTGATCAATAAAAAAAGGTGCAGAGAACTGAAAATATCTTCTAATTATCTAATGAATAAGCAGCAGATGATGTAAACTAATTTAGGGGAAGATTAATTACCTTCCTTCTTATTTTAGTAAAGAGCAACGTATGTCAAACTTTACTACAGTACATTAGAATCACCAGAGATAATTTAAAAAATCACAGTGCCTAAACCCCTGATTGGTCCTATATATGGCCCAGAGATTAGTCTTTCTTTAAGCAACTCAAAAACTTTCTAATAGGTGTGTAATTGGGGGGGTGCTTTTTTTTGAAGGTATCTGAGTTCATAATTTATCTCCAAATCCAAGAGAAAATCCCCAAAAATAACACCTATCAGGGTTAGTGTGAAGCTTATATAAAACAACTTATATAAAACAATTACATGATGCTTTCTTTGTGGCAATTATCAGTCATTGTTAGTTTCCTTTGCCCCACTATACTTACCAAGTGCTATTACCATGAGCAATCCTGGAACTCCAAAAGCCAATGCATAGCAATCTTCCCCAAAACACTGCACATCTCCTGAAGAAAATGAGGAGGAGGTAACTCTTGAATCTTTGATAAAAGGCTATTCAAGATCAGATTCTTGATGTAGACTTAGCCATCCTCTGTCATTCTTTTGCACTTAATCCATAATCCTTCTTTGGGGTCAGACAAATCAAGACAAAAAGAAGTTCTCACAGATTTCCAAGCTCTTATAAAAGGAGGAAATGGACTGCAGGAAACCTGGAACAGATTTTTAGCTGGCTAGAGTAAAGCCTTAGACAGGAACCCACAGGAAATGATCCTAACCTCTCAGCATGGGTGTGATAAATGTAGAAATCAAGCTTCCAGCATTGATGGAGAGGTAGAAGACTGAGAAGTATCTAGTTCGTTCCTCTGCCTAAAATAAACAGGATAAATCATCAATGCAATGTGCTTCCCAGCTCCATTCCCACTCATATTCAGATTCAGAGAAAGGCACATACAAAGATAGATATATTTTTTTCTCCATGGTAGATATTTAATGGCTGGCTGGCCCTAGACAAACATTTAGCCATATTTTAATCTCCAGTACAAATAGCTTTAATATTCTTTTAACCCTTCATATGGGCAAAAATGATCATCTTTGATGTCACTATTGTGTCCTGTACATATCTTTACCAAAAATAGTTTATTTGTATTAACTGTTTCTTTCAGTAAGTCGTGAGTCTTTTTAGGGAAAAAATTGTGCCTTACTCATTTCTGTAATCCCTAGTACCTAGTCTAGCATCTGACACATATTAGAAACTCAATGGATGTTTATTGACTACATTAATTAAATGAGTGACTCAGTTAAACAATAGATTTTGTGAAGTATGATAGGAATAGGACAAGAACATAGGCTAGTGTAATGAACTGTTGATCAAGTAGGACAGTTCAACTAGTACTTAACAGAGATCTGCTAGAGAATATGAAAGCACATCAGTGGGCTTAGAAGTAGCCAGCAGAATCTTGGTGGTGGGTTTGTCCTATTAATTGAAATATATTTGTAGGCCAGCTACTTATTCAAACAACTTTCAAGTGAATTTGCAGTCAAGTAAGTCATTACGTCTTCCTGTGCTTCATTTTGGTGTCTCAGATCTTTTCCTCACACAGTAGCACAATCAGTCCTTCCCCATGTTCATTTTATAGTTTGTTTTGCTTCTGCTTCTTGCTTATTTAAACCTACTCCACTAATCTAATTTGTATAGTCACTGAGCATAGAATCCCTCTTGGCAAAGGTTAGTTATTGCTCCAAAGTCAGCAAGTAATGATGGTCTTTGGATCTTTGAATAGATAAAGAGTATAAGATAGTCCAAATACTCTGAGTGATAAGAGAAACACTTGAAAAAAGAATGCAGAGAGAAAACAGAAATCAAAAGAGGTAGTAGGCTCTGTGTCAGAGAGAGTATGAGGGAGAGAAGAGAAGGAAATAGAAGGAGAGAAAGAAAGAAAGAGAAATAATAAATTTAACAAATAGCTATAGAAAGGGTAGATACATAAAGAAGACCAAAAAGAAAACAGAGCAAGCAAGAGGAAGCTATAAATGTTGGCTAATTTAAGAATAGACTAGTTGATAGAAGGGAATGGGATTAATATGAGAAAATGGAAAAATAGGAACAAAATCTTTGTAAATAGGGAGGAATGGAGGAGTTGAAGGGAGGGCTGGACAAGGGTGAAAAATAAGAACCGAGAGAGATTATGTAAAGGTGCAAATTTCCAATGGTGAATGTCATTATATTGTATACCTAAAATGTACCAATGATTAGAATGAATAATCAATAATGCAAAATAGGAAGAAAAGGTCCAAAGCAGGTAGGGGTAGTGGGAGGGGCAGGGGAAAGGAAAGAAGGGAAAGGAAAAATGCTGAGAAATGGAAAAAATGGAAATAAAGTCTTTGTAAATAGGGAAGGGTGGAGAGGGTGAAGGGAGGGCTAGGAAAGGGGACAAAATAAGAACCAAGATGCATTATGTAAAGGTACTATTCTCAATGAGAAACGTAATTGTGTTGTATACCTACAATGTACCAATAAAAGAATTTAATTTTTAAAAAAAAGAATAGACTAGTCTTCTGCTATTGTCACTGCTTCCTCGAGTGGGCATTTTACCACGGTCATATTGCTTTGTTTTCCTCCATGGACAATAGTCAGTATTTAAGCAAAAAAGGAAAAACAAGCCAGGCCAATCCATCTATAGAAACTCCTTCTGTTTCATTCCAGTTACAATTCTGTTTCATTTCAAAGCTAGACATTCTTAAATCATTTCTATACTACTTATCACTTCCCATTCCCAAAATGATTACTGTGTTTCTTCTTAAATATCTTGAGTGGGAGTAACCTATTTTCAACTTCTATTGTTTGAAGTTTTTCCTTCTATCAAGCATATAGTTGACTTCCTATAGGTTTTAATCATTAGTGTCATGTTTAAGCATTGACATCCTTCCAATATTTATAAACAGTATAATATTCTCTTTGATTCTTATCTTATCCAGAATAACCAACCCCATTTTCTTCAACATTTCCTCATATAGCATGTTTTTTTAGTCCATCTACCATCCTGATTACTTTCCTTTGGAAGTGTTTCAGTTTTTCTATTAATTACCAGTATCTTCATAGAATACAACTTCTCAGATAGGATCTAATCAGTGAATTACTTAAATCTTGGTAAATGGCTAACTGCCAGGTAATGCCTTTTGATGCTGGCTATACATTCTTGAAAATATAGAAGATGAATCTTACATGTTTTTCTTCAAACTGGTCTCCACCGAAAGCTGCCACACAGGGTTTGATACCTCCTGTTCCCAGAGCTATTAGACTCAAGCCAATCAATGACAAGATTCTGAAATGGAGAGGTGAAGATGCTAAGTATGTTGATAGTTACACCACTATAGAGATGGACCACACAGCTGCAGAAAGGGAACAATGTATACAAAAGAGTAAAACTCTTTGGTCACATTTCTATCTGGTAGGCACTTTCCACTTGCCTTCACCTCAAAAAATACTCATGAGCACTTTACGTCTTTATGATATTTGAGCATCTGCTAGAAAATATGCATTGCATGAGATTTTGTGCCAGTACTTCTATTTATCTTTTACATACATCAAATGGAAATAGATACTAAAGGGACTCCAAAGCTAACACATTGGTTTTCAATCTTATTTTAGGCAAAGGGACACTTCAATAGAAAGATCTATGGACACTAATCCTATACAACCTTACTAACCATAAAATAAAATGTTAAAATCCATCATAATAAATAGAAGTAATATAAATGATTTTTAAGGGACACTAATAAGGAAGTGTCTAATATTTATTAAGTTTCAAATAAAATTTCTAACATAGAATAAATGCATGTATTTATTTATAATACATGTATTTATTATAATTATCATATATATTTATTATAATTATAATATATGATATAATTATATACTATAATTACATGTGTATTTATTATAATAAATACATGTTTATATAACATGAATACATATGACCTCCCTCTTCAATAATTGTTATCCTCTCTACTGACTGAACCAAAACACAGAATCTATTAAATGCCTCTGGCACTATAAACACTGATGATACTTTAAGTAAGAAGGGACAGAGCCACGGGAATATATGGAACTATACATAAATGGAAATATCCAAGCATTGAATATGACTTGAAAAATATAAGGAAACACAAATCTTTTTTTATTCCTGCTGAAGTGCAGATTCATGGATGAACAGGAAAGGGAATATGGAAGGTGTGAAGGTTTTATTTTCAAGCATATGAAGAGTTTTTATGAAGATGATACTAACTAGGCATTCTGCAAATGCTTAATTAATAAAATAATTGAGCTCAGATAAGGTAAGAGAATTCAACTGCTCATAAAACTTTTTTTTTCTTAACCAATTTGGTAATAAATCTGTAACTGGAAAATAAAGGAGTATCTTTGGTCATGAAATAAATAGAAAATCTTTGTAATGAATACAGCATATACCTGTTTAGTAGAAGAAAATTGGCTCAGTTGATTGCATGATTTTACTCACGTGTGTGCCACTTTTCCACCCAGTATTGGAATCGCACCCAAGGACTTTAACACGTGGCCAAGCACGTACACCAGGGAGAGGTAGATGATTGTCCTGTGGAGAAAGTTAAATCAGTCAATCTGTCTGTGTGTTACTCAGGAATGTGAGTCATATAAACTCAGGGCTCATACATTCTCAGTAAACACAAGAGAAGGAGAAAGGAGTGGAAGAAGAAATAACTGAGAAACGCAAATAGCAACAATAATAAATGAAGTAAACAGATTAGAGTTTTTCACGAGTAATGTTTATTGCGAGGTAACATTCTTTTCCAGTTTCCTTCTCCTCTCAAGTTACCCCTACTCCCTCCTGCTCTATATTATATATACAGAGATACAATAAGAACTGGGTCGACTTTTAGCAAAAGTGATGATCTTTTAAATCAGTAAAACCAGGGCCAGGGATTTAGTTCAGTTGTTTTGCCACCTGCTGCACAAGCTCAAGGACCTGAGTTAGATCCCTGGTAACAAAAAAATAAGTAAAACCAGTAGAACAGGATACCTTGACCTGAAGTGTTTTTCTGAAAACATGTCTTTTGCTCTAGAAAGCAAGAGGGCTGAAGGATTAACTCCAAGTAAACAGGGATGGATAACACAAATAACTTTCTCTAAAAAAAGCACTAGGACAGAGAGAGAGGCAAGGGGCTTCTAGGTTCAGCCTGGGAAATTTGGACACTTGGATTAATTATAATCACCACCACAGTTTCCTCAGGGACAAATTACCAAAGGTGAGAAAGGACTGTCAGTAATAAAAATTATGCAGTTGGTGGCAGCTCTTCCTGTTATGTAGTTTTCCCAAGGTACTTGAATAGCACGTAGGAAGTATAAGAGTAAGGAACTTCAGCAAGACCGTGTATTGAGATATATACTCCTCACACCAGTATTGTAATTAGCCCTGAGAATTATATAGTTTACATCTGTGATTTTAAAGTATTTTGTGCTAATTTGAAATATAAAGAATGGAATAAATTTGGCAGAAAGAGGCTAAAGATGCCAGAAATCTTAGGATGTAGATTATTTTAAATATCTAATCTTCCTAGATTGCCTTTCTATGGAAGTGACTTCAAAGGTTACACACACAATGGTGGGTGGGAGTGGGAATTTGGGTGACTAGTCTGGAGCTAATTAGGAGAGGAGGGATGCTTTCCCAAAAGGCCTTGTGTCATCTTCTAGAAAAAATTTCTCTTTGTTGAAATAAAAAGAACAAATAGAAAAGGAATAAAAAGAAGCTGAAAAGAGTTAGCTATTGTGAATCAAAAAGAGGTGATCTATATTGGATCATCAGAAAGAAAGAAAGAAACAAACAAACAAATGAAGCCTTAGCTGGAGTGATAGGGTCTGGATAGGAAAATCAGATCTGTACCTAATTGTTAGACTGAATAAATGAGAGAAATGTAAGTGGTTTACTACATAAATAGGCAACCTTCTAGATGAAAGACTCACAGGAAATAGTCTAGGCATATAAGAGGAAGCTAATATAAAAAAAAGGAAGCCAGTGGCTGGAAACTATAGCAGGAGGAGAAAGATGTGAAGAGCGACTTGAAAACTGTGCATTTGAAATAGAATAATCAGTCTATGGCCATACCACCCTGAATGTGCCCGATCTTGTCTGAAATAGAATACTCAGGTTTAGTATAAGCTTATTATAATACCATCCACAGGACTTAAACTATTTTATGTAGAACTGGCCAATCCCAAATTTGCCAATCATGAAACTGAAGTCCAGAGAGGTTAGTACTAGGGTTATATTTAGAACATCTCATGGCTTAGCATTTGTTCAGTCACAAACAAGTTAATGTGGAAAAAAGAAAAGAGGAAGAAGCTGTAAATTTTATTTCAGTTTAAGAACATTAAAAATCAGAACCATTTTTAATGAGAGCTTAAGAATTGAGGAGTACATGCAGAGACTGTGAAAGAGAATGTGTAGTGATGATGGAAGAAGAACCTCTACATGAAGAGGGTTGACTCTGATCACACAAAAGGAAAAATGTGGGGAGGTGGTCCAAAATCATTAAAAATACACTTAAGAAACTGGTTTTAAGTGATTGCCAATGTCAAGAGCCCAGACTTGTAGGCATGGCTCACAGGATATAAAAGGGAGGAACTGTGACCAGGAATGTTTTTCTCCCTTAAAAGCAATTTGACTCTAAACAGCTCTCTAACATATAGTTACTCCCTCAGTAAATGTTTATAGAAATCACAATGAATACTAGTCTTTTCCACTAGTTAGTTTTTCCTACATATAGCCCTAAAGGAAGCCTTACTTGTCTCCTGGCATAGGGACTTCCTTATATAATGAGTTAGGGACTCCACATGCCCTCTTCCTCTTAACACAGCTTTGATTCTGACATAGTAAACACAGGAAGGGTTTTTAGCAGTTGTTTACCACACTCAGAAAATTGTGTTCTTTGAAGGCATGACTACTCTTTCTAGGGTTAAATAAAGTTTTTCAGGGCTAGTGATTTAACTCAGTGGTTTTGCTGCCTGCTATGCAAGCGCAAGGACCTGAGTTCGATCCCCGTTACCAAAAAAAAAAAAAAAAAGAAAGAAAGTTTTTCAGTCTTAAAATAACATCTGAATAAAAGTGCCCCCCATATTCACAGCCAGGGGTGGGGAACATGTGGGGACACATGAGGTGGGAAGAACTTACAATTTGGAATTCGTAAATCTTTCCAGTTTTCCTATACCTGAAGAAAAGAAGGCTGCAAGTTCAACTTAAAGAAGGTGAAGAAGAAGTCTACTCCAACTTAAGAAACTCAGGAGTAGCAGGGTAGAACTAAGTGCTTATTCCCTTGGATTGCCATTATTATTCTATTTATATACGTGGACTCACACAGGCACACACATGTACATCTACAAGAGAACAAGCTAACCATGTTGTCTCTAAATCACTTCCTTTCTGAAAGAGATACCAAGTCACCCCAAAAGAGTTTTATTATTAAAAAAGAAAAAACCCTAATACCCTCAACAATATCAGTCATCATTATAGCTGTCCATACCTATCCTCAGGCTTTTGCCTATATTTGAAGATCTGAAGATAAATTAGTGTAGGCCAGGGATTTAGCTCAGTGGTGCTGCCACCTGCCTTAAAAGTACAAGGTCCTGAGTTCGATCCCCGGTACTAAAAAAAAAGAAAAAAGAATAACTTAGTGTATTAATTCAAATATTTTTTGTGGATCTGCTATTTATTAGGCACTATTCTAGGTGCTGTGTATAAAAATATATAATAGGAGCCAGGGATTTCACTCAGTGCTTCTGTCGCCCACCTCACAAGTGCAAGGTCTCAAGTTCAATCCCTAGCACAAAAAACAAAACAAAACA